ATTTATAAATTAGGCACAGTAAGAGACTACTGGCAGTCACTAATAATAAAATAGAGAAATTATAATGTTATACTATAATAAAAGTTATGTGAATGTCATGTCTCTCTCTCAAAATATCTTTTGTACTCTGTACAAAAGAATGATTCATATCAGGAAGGTCAGAGCAGGATGGCATGAGATTTCATCCCACTCCTCAGAATGGCATGCATTTTAAAATGTATGAATTGCTTATTTCTAGAATTCTCCACAGAATAGTTTCAGACTGCTATGATGGTTACTGAAACCACGGAAAACAAAAGTGCAGGTAAGCAGGGACTTCTATTATCTCAGAACCAAAGAATGCTAATGATGGGGAAGAAATTGAGTCAAGGAGAAGTTACCTAACTTGCCAAAAACCGTGGAGCCATTTAATGGCAGAAGCTCAACACACAGGCTATATCCATTCTTTAAAGCCTACAGACCCCTGGTTCTACACCAGAGCTTCCATCTGAAGCTTTGGAAATATGTCTCTGAAACCAAGAACAGAATAACATAGGTGCTTTTCTTCATGTTCCTAATCAATATTTACTAGAAAAGGAGCTTTACCTATACTTGTCATTATTCTCAGGAATTAAAGAACCACTGATTCTCTGTCTTGCCTCTCTAGGTCTCTGAGATGAGAGATTTGCTCCTTGTTATATGAAATCCTTCTTTTGCCCCCAAAAGCTTTCGTATTTCATCCTGTGGATAAACTGGAAGATTTTCCATGCTGCTTACATGAAGGCAACCTTTTGTTGAAGAAATATGCTTTAGAGTTTCAGGAGCTGGGACTTTGTTTACAGACTGAGTTAAGCGCAGTTTAAATTCATGGATTTTTGCACTCTGTCATGTAAGAAAATTTTTCTCAATAAAACTCCAAGACACTCACATCTACAAACCATCGGTCAGTCAGAAGGCATTTGTTCCTACCAGTAGATACATAGCTCAATGCTGTGGTCCCATGACCCAAATGAGATCTCAAGAAGCTTAATCCAGCCACACTAGAACCATGACTCAGGAGTGCAGAGAGGGCAGCCAGACTAGTGGCTTGCCCCAAGTTGGAGGCTTGGAAGCAGAGAAAGTATAAACACAGCTCACCTGATATTATGCTCCTTCTCTACATCTTCAGTGGGTCCAACAGTGCCTGCTATGTGGCATGCAAGTTCCTCATTGGAACTTCCAGGACCCTTATAATAAGGCTGAAACCTATTTTTCCTTCTACTCTACTATTCCCTATAAGTAGACTATGTTGTAGATTAACCTGACTAAACTGTTTCCTGTAGAGTTCAGGCACAGAACCACATCCCCATCATTGTATAAGAAGCCTGCCCCTGAGATGTTCCAGTCATCTCACCCTAAGTGCTACTCCTTCTCTGGGACATTTCCTGATGTTTTCACCAACCTCCAACCTAGAAAACCTACAACTGGAGGTGGCCTCAACTACCATGAAAATTTTGCACATTTGTAACTCACCCAAGAAATTATTTCCTAGATGGTATGGTGGTAATTTGGGAATTTTTTTTTTCCTTGCTTTCAACCAACATTAGCTGAGCATTTACTATGAATCAGATGCTGTGCTGGGTGCCTGGGACATAGAAATTAATTGAGTCAAGGTTCTCGTTCTCAGCGGGCTTATGGTCTAGTAGGCGAGATGATACTATGATAGAAGATGACAACCTAGGGCAATGGGAGTCCAGGTAAGGGCAGAATTTAATGACCAGGGAAATATGAAAGAGAGTATGGCAAGAAAAATTTGTTTCCTGGAGGTGGGGTGGGAAATGAAGTGTAAGGGAGGGATCTTCTAGATAAAAAGAATATGATGTACCATTCCTCCCTACTACTTCCTGAATTTACTGAGTACCTATATGATTTCCATCTCTCACATCATTCTCATTAAGATAGATATCACAGTCCTCATTTTATAGATGGAGAAACTGAAGCTCCCAAGACCAAGACCCCAAAGCTATCAAGTATCAGAGCCCAGCCTGAGCTCCTGGTAACAGGAAATTCACCTTCAAGGAGCCAGCTCTTAGCTCCCATCCTCTAAACCTGGGTGACTACACAGGGAACCACTCAAAACCAGATACCTTCTGGAAAGGTTAACTGGGGCATAAGAAGAAAAGGTTCCAGAATGTGGAAACAGCCATGTCCTGTACCTCCCTGTAAACCTAGTAAAAGTCCTCTCAGTGTATGTGGTTTTAATGGCCCCAAAGGAGGGCCCTTCATCTTAACTCAGAAACGACAACCTGAAGAGAGTTACCTAGAAGTCACTTCAAGTCAAGCCAGGCCCGTGAAAACTCTCAAAAGGCTCAGAAAATTGAATTTCTAGGGCAAAGCATTTTGGTTTTGATGGAGTTCTCCCCCAGCCTTTTCCTTTTTCTCATTATTTTTCTCAATTTCTCCCTTTCTAGTTCAAGCTCTTTCTGTAATACTTGTATTGGGCACATGCTTTTCTCTCTCCTAGCTGAGACTATTGTGGTACTCCTTTTCCATTGAAAGCAATCAAAAATGAAAATCCACATTTCAGAACAGGGTCTATTAAATATGTACCTTTTGTGGATAAAAAAAGAAAGCACTCTCTGAGAGCTGATTTTCAGTTCTGTGTATCACCAAAAGATTAGATAAATTGGGTGAGACTTCTGCTCCCTTGAAGGCCATTTGCATTTGGTAATTGAGAATGATGGCAAAACCTCAGGAATCAGAAGCAACTTACTTAAGGAATGTCTTAGTCTAAAGCATTGCTAATCAAAGAATGGTTTGGGGACCCGTAGGAATGCTTCATCTGGAAGCTTATTAGAAATGTAGAATCTCAGGCCCCACCCCCGCTGACCAATGGAATCAGAATCTGCCTTTTAACAAGATCACAGGTGACTTGTGTGCACATTAAAGTTTGGAGAGTATAGGTCTAGAGCCAAAGTAATGCTGCTTTTATTGTCATCCTGGACACCTCAGGTGGGTTTCTTTCCTAAGAAAGAAAATCTCTATTTAGTGAACTCCATAAAACGTCCCCCACCTCCCTTCTCTGTCCAAACTATTTATTCATAGAGGAATTCTAAAATGATAAACATTCTTCAACAAATTATACTCTCTGCCCAAAGAAGTTCAAGGTGAAACAAGGCTACTGGCCAGCCTTTCCCTAAAGGGAAAGATCTGAACTTGGGACGTAAAAGACAGCTCTTATTCCCACTCTCTTTTCCAAGGGTCTGAATCTCTTATTCTACTCCTCTCTGGGGGGTGGGGGGTGGGGGAAGAACCTCCCTATGGACTACACAGGTAAGTGGAGAGTCTGAAGGGCATGCTCTGCCCTGGGTCCTAAGGAAGTGTAATAAATACAGATGGGAGGAACCAAGATCATAATCTTTAAATCCAGGCTGTGCTCAGACCTCATACACCCAATAACAAGACATACATAGATAAATTCTGATTAATTAATCTGTCATCTATCTACATGAGCGACATCAACCAGAAGAGGAAAAATCATGTGGACCTGGTTGGAAGGAATGAAAGTTAGAACTGAAAGGCAAGAGAAGAGGAGAGGGGAAATGGCCCAGTCCTGCCCATTGTGTCCTGCCCCTTGATTTCTACTTGCCAGTGAAGCAGAGGTAGTTAGTGTTCAGGGCAGGACAGAAGCTCTGACCAGAGCCCTGGCAGACTACACAGAAACTGATCTGACCTTGTCCTCTATGAAAAGGATGCCTGTCTCAGAGATATTTCTATTTTTAAAAAATTACTTCTTGATAAAACTAAACAAAACAAAACAAAAACCAGGTCCATATCCAAAGCAAATACTTTCTCCCTAATTCTGACAGATGCGCACATCACAACAAACACTTTAAGGTTCCAGGTATCTTTCACACATCTAAATGGAATGCCTGAATTAGGGACCAATTTGCTATTCTCCTCCCCCACTTTGGCTAATTTTTCATTCATTTTTTCCATCTTCATCTTTGGATTCTCTTATTAAACAGCAATATTTTCAAACACATAAATGGTCTATTTATATCAAGCAATACTTGTTTTTCAATTGGCAATAATTTAATCACATATTAATAGTATTTCGGCTCTGGAAACACAGTTCTGTCCTTTTCACATCCACATCAGCATGCCCTCAGCAAAAATTTGGAATGGACAGCAATGATGGACAGCAGTAAGTAGGGGTGGCAGGGATATGCTTAGACTCTGAAATTCAGACAGGAACTCCATTTGTCTTCCTCTACCACAACCAAAAGATAGCCCTGTCCCTCAAACCCAAGTATGTTATAGATTATCCGCCTACAGAGACTGAGGCTATCAATTTTATTTCAGCAAACTTCCACTTTATAGAAGAGCACTTGACTTGCTTTCCCCTGTAAATCAGACCTAGATGAACTAAGTAATCTTCCAGAAGAAAAAGCTCTGCATCCCCTTCCCACCCCCAACATGCAGACATGCTTGAACACACTACTTTCTGAAGAAAGAGAAAGTTAACTTTCAAATAACCTGTCCTTCAGCCAGTCTGGCCATGTTTTCAGATCTTTTACATTTCCAAAGATGGATCTTGTAACTCTTGACTAAATCCAGAGGATGAAACCTGACCTCTGTCTGTCCAGGGCATGCGTAAGGGTCAAAGGTCCACAAATACACCACTTCCCCTCCCCCCCCCCAACACATACTTCTTTCTCTCAAAGTGAGAATAATGGATCAGACTTTATTATTCTTTCTTCAGAGAAGCCAGGCCGGGCTGCTGCTGGGAAGCTCCAGACAGAATGTGGGTGTGTGAACCTGTGCGGGTTCCACAGAGGAATTTTCTGGGAACTCCAGGCGTTTTGAATAAAGGGTAGGTCTGAGGCTGGGGCACAGGAATCCTTGGGTTTCTCAGGCATCTCTGAAGTCTGGATGTACAGAGTGAGGGCGTGTGCAGCGGGGCTGTCCTGCCAATCCGGCTTCCCTCCCTGCCCGGCCATGGCCATCCCAGGCCCTCTGGTCACAGTGGGGTCACTCACCACCCGTGAGCTGTGCAGGGCCAAAGCACAGCGCCAGCTGAAACCACAGGATCACTGCCAAGAGTCTCTGGGGGGACTGAGGCTGCTGCTGCTGCTGCTGCTCTAGAAATCCATCTCCATTGCTCGGGTTCATTCCATGATACATCTTTCATCCACAGAGGGCATCCAGCTTGCAAGAGTCTGCAACCACCAGCGGAACACGACAATACCCCGGGCTGCTGGAGCTCTGGGCCACGCTCCCACTCCTCGGCCCTGGGACCCGGCGCCTCAGCTGCGCGGGCTCCATCCCAGTTCACCCCCGCAAGGCCCCCGCCCCCTTTCCCACGGCGAGATCTCCCCGCCGCCCCCAGCGCAGGGTACACTGAGTAACAGCCGCCGTGGGATGCTGCGCGTGCGGGAGGGATGGAGGAGGGGAGGGAGAGCAGGGGTTAGCGCACATTGGCTCTGCGCCGGGTCCCCGGGATTCAGCGGCTGTGACCATGACAGGAAAGTCTAAAGCCTTCTAGCGTCTAGGGGCTGAGAAAACACTTTTCCCCGGGCCTAACCATTTCACTCTTAGGAATCTCACAATGTGGCACCGGCTCCCCCCAGCTACTTCTCTGGTTTTCCCTGGGATCGGGAGGGTCCTATTGCCCTAGTCCCCAATGAGATTGCGCTGTCAAAAAAATTCCTCCCTTGGGGAGCAGAACAGGACACAAACTCCCCCTGCCCGGCCTGCGTGCGCCTCCCCGAACTGGAAAGCCCTTTCCGGGCTCCTGGTCTTACCTGTGGGTCTCATGCATGCAGCTTCCTTCCCTCCTCCGCCTCCT